GCTTTCTTTCCTGTAGTGCACAAAACAATTCTTTAGAACATGCACAGCTACTTTTTAAACTGTTGAATTTATCTCCCTTTTCCAAGACAGTGAATTCTTGATGAACCCTGCCCCCAACACCCACCTCCAACCCTGGGAGTACTGGCAGAGCTGTAATTAGGGACTGGATTCCTCCCAGTTACACATGTTCCTGGACTGCTTCTCTTTAACTACAACAAATATAGGCTCAAAACTAGTGAAATTCTCCAAATTTGATTATTAAGATTATCCAAACAAAAACACTGGGAAAATAAATCTGCTGGTCTCCTTTCCAAATATAAAGCTTCCCAAAGCAAAGTATAACCATTTTAGCTTAATAAGGTATGTAAAGTCTTTGTTAAAGCACAGGTGACAAGTTTCATTGAAAAAGAAATCACCCTGGTCAAACGCAGACAATGCATTCTGAAGCAGTCTTGGGGATCTTTCGCATCATGTTTGGGGTTACACGTGTCACTGCCCTACTCCGGAAGCATGGCCACTGGAAAGCAGATTGTAACTCATGAGTTATTATACACTGGGATCTTTGCAAATAAGGTACTTCATGAGGCAGAATGGCAAAGAGAACATTTAAATGCACAGCTTACATTCATCTACAGAAATAATATTTCCCAGTTGTGAACGAATTACTTATTTGGAAAATGTTAGCATCCTCATAAATATTTTGGTCAAATTATGGTACAAAATCTGAATTTTGCAAACTTGAAAAACGCACATTTTTGTAACATCTCCTAAGTATTTCTCTGGGAGCTTAAGGAATGCTATTCACCGAGTGAAGCATTTCAGCCTCGAGAAGCATCTTCATCAGGAAGCTACCTCAGAGGTAAAGATTTTCTGGGGATTGTAAGAAAAATCTGTGGGTTCCTATGTCAGGGAAAAGAAACAACTATGAAATGTAGGACCAGCTGAGAATTCACCCTGAGGAAGGGATGAGATGTGAGGCAGTTGCCCCTGGCCTCAAATATTATCCTTCTGTAAACTGCTGGAATGTTTTTTTCACTTTACTTTAAAACTGTTTCCAAGACCCAAAACTCAGATGGGTCCCTTGAGTCTGCTAAGTCAGGGTTTCGCCCTCCCCGGAAGGCATGGCCTGGTAACCCCCTCACCAATTCATGACACTGTTTCTGTGGGAAAAGTGTTTCAAAGTGTAAGCCAATTGTTTGGAATGTGATAGAGAATCTCTTCATAAGATTACTTGCTGTGGGCAATTTTTCCTGTCCATTCTCAGTTTTAGAATGGAATCAATGTGCTTGGAATCTCCGAAATATATTGTATGGTCTTTGGGGAAAAAAAAATGAAACTTTCATAAGGAAGAAAAAATACCCAACATTTGTATTACCAAGACGAAACTTTTGTATTGCACATTCATATTCAGCAATATTTCCTACTGACACTGATTACCTAAATCATACTTTGGCGCTGCAGAATAAATGCCTCTGTTTCAGACATGTAGCAAATCCAATAATCTACCATTTCATAAACCATCCCATTAACAGGGAGTAACTACAAATATTCTATACACAAGTACTTCGTATCATTGTGGAAATACAATCAAGAGGCAACGCTTGAAGGCCACATATTAAGGCTATCTTGGTTATTTAAAACGTTTATAAGCAACAAAGACACTTTTGCAAAAGATAGTACAAAGTAAACAGCATTTCCATCTTAGGAAAAGAAAAGCCATTATAAGCCAACAACACATCCAAAAGGTATCTTACAACTTATTGCTATTATTCTGATGCAGGACAGATTATTGCTTAAAACCGCACATTTCAGAACAGCAAGAAATGTTCTTTTTTTGTTACCTGTTAAGCAAGGCGACATCAGAAGAAAGAATTTTAAAATTAAACTCTTCTTTTGTGTTAAAAGTGAAATTTATTACAATATGGTAAGTGCAAGTATTAATTAAAAATGTTGGTTAAAATTACAAAGTGTCTATAGAACTTTTCTACTATAAATATTGGAAATAACCTTAACAATTCTATACACACATAGAGTATTGAAGACATAAACTTGTGGACAAGGCTAAAGTATCACTTTTATTTTCTCCTGATCCCAGCATCATGCCAGAATCTGAAGGGGTTACAGTTCAGGGTTTCAGTGTTTTGAATGTACGTCAGTCATTACACATTAACAAGGCTTTACAATCATTCCTTATGTTCTAATTAAGCAGTTCTATTTCCTATATTTCCCTTTCTCCATAGGTCTTGGATAAAAAGTCGAACTAGAAAAACTGTGATTACGGGACCTAGCCTGGCCTGACATGAATTCTCAAAGATTCATTTAAAAGTGGCACAAAGTATTATATATATATTTCAAAAGTCCTACAGGACGGGAAAGACAGTAAGTACACCAACATATAAATAAAATTAAGCAGCTCACCTTCTGCTTGCTTACTTGGTTCCAGGTCTCTGGTGAAAGAAGCCACAGCCACAAAGAAGTGAGGGCAAATTAGACTGCTGGGAGTGTGTGTGTTGGGGTGGGGGTGGGTGGGGTGGAGAGCAGCCCCGGGAAGGAACTGGGGAGAAACGTCAGATTATAAAGGGAAATTAAACACAGTGTTATGTATCCATTCTTCCCCCTCCTGCTAAAGCAGGGAATGGTTCCAGCCCAGCCCCGCTCCCCTGCATCCCAGTGGGGGCTCTGTCCCCCCAGCGCTGTGAAGACAACCACTGCCTTTCAGACACTGTGAAGCCACAGCTGTTCCCACTTCACAAATGTGAGGAACAGCCTATATATTATAGGTGCAGACACTTCACAAATACCAAAGAGAGGCTGAACTGGGCCTCAACATGAGGGGCAGGTGAAACAATGTTTACAAATGAGCAGCTAACTCCGAGAGAGGTTAAGTGGTCCGGCCAAGGGGAAGCAATACTTATTCCTCCATGACGACGCTTCTCTGACTTTAACATGCGTATGATTCGCTTGGGATCTCATCAGAATGCACTGGCTTGGGGGCAGGGCCTCAGATCGGCTTCTGTAATAAGCTCCTAGGAGATGCTGGTGCTCTTGGCCTATGGACCACACTTTGAGAAGCACAAGTCTGCAACACGAAGAGGGAGCCACCTCTGTCTCCCCGGGCCACAAGTGTATCTTGGCAGTCCTGAGTGGAGCTGAGACAGCCCCAGCGTTCCGTGCCCGCCCCAGCACATCCCCAGGCCCACGGTGGCGGGGCAGCGCACAGCTGTCTACAAGCCTGTGTTTGTGAACATATCTTCTGAGAGCACCGTTGTTGACTATATGAACAGCTAAACAAGTAACATAATTCAACGGGAGTAGATGGAGAGGTCATTGGCTGGGAATAAAACTAACCTTTTTCCCATGTAGTCCTCCTAAAAGTGAACCTGATTACAAAGGTATAAAAAACCAGCATATTAAATTTCAGAGTAAAAGGCCACATGTGCACACATATACATATAGTATGAATTCTAAGATTAAATGCATTTTGTCAGAATAAAGTGCGTGCTACCACTGCTCCCAGCTAAAATCATCTCCTCTTCCAAATACAAGGAAAAAACCTTGAATTGTAAGGAAAATGACCGCATTGCCTGCCAGCACCAGGCCACAGGCTCCCCATTTGATCTGAAACACAAGAAAAGAGGATTAAATCTTACTTTCTTCACATTGCACTTTTTGCATATCTATTTCCTGCATTAGAAACATCCAATGAAATATTACATAAAACTGCTAAAAGGCTTGATAAAGTAATAGGCAGAAGATAGTGAACTGTTTAGTAATTAGTCCAATTACTTCGTGATGCTTGTTAATGAAGTCTAGTATCGTCCTTAACATTTTCCCCATTAGACGTATTTCCCTACTTGTTTTCAGTAGACAATGGCCATCTCAAGTAAAATACATGAATCAAGATTACAAAGGCTCCAGTTACAATACTGGGCACTGAAAGTCCTGTATGCTTTGCCTTCTTTCACAAAAATAGGATTGGAGAGTTATGGGACGATCTGTTTCTTTTCTAGGCAAGAAAAGATTTTAAATAACAATCTGCATGCAAACAAAAAGAGCTTTCCAGTGTGGCAGATGGTTTCACAGAGGCACAGCTGGGGATGAGAGTACCCTCCAGTGGGCATTTGTTTTGTTTTGTTTTAATTCAGCCAATAGAAAACAATGAAACTTTCTTCATAAAACGTGGTAGGGTACTGAAAGGTAAAAACAGAAATCTTTAGAGCAAAATTTAAGAAGTACTAGTCTAAGGTACACGAAGAGTAAGATCATGACAATCTTACATTCAAAAACCTTCACTGCTTCTCTGTTATCTGACAGAGTCCAAACTGGCATGGCCTTCTAGACCCTTCCCAGCGAGGCTTCCCCAGCCTTCCAACCTCAGTTTCAACCACTCCCTTTTTGCTCCATCATACTGGACTGTTCTTTATTCCATGTATTGCATTTTCGCACTTGGGTACCATTCCATATAATAGCCCTCCCGACTTCAGTCAAAACCCTATTTATCCTTAGAGGGGCACATCAAATCCCAGCTGTAATTTCTCTCTTCTTCATGCTCCAGTGACATTCTGATCATTTTTTAATTACCACACAGAGCACATTTATCGACCACTTACCCATCAGGCTAGTTTCTGTGCTCTTTGAGAACAGAGACAGTATCTGGTTCTTATTCCCAGTGTCTTATTACAAATAGCATATGTTCCAAAGATGTTTACTGTATGAATAAATAACACTTGTGCAGATCTGATATTCAGTGACCCACACAAGAGTTTCATGAAATTGAAACAGTATGTTATTGGGTGAAATAAAAGCAAATAGTATGAAAGACAGTGAACATCAAAGAACTTTATAAATTATACCCATAATGTGTGTTTTAGAGATAAAAGAAAAATTTTTATATTGGATATTGATGAAATAAAATGCACATTTTATGGCAAGACAAGAAAAATTAAACGTAAAAATTTTCTCTGCCCGATTGTGTCTTCTCTTTCCCCTTTAGTGCTTACTGTGCGTCTGCATAAACCAGGCCTCCTTAGGAGATAACGTTCCTTCTTAATCTCATAAAGGGCTACAACTGCTTAGAAGATAACCTTCCATCTTGTCAGGGGCCACGATGATCCATGACCCCCTACTTGCTTTATACATGCCGATCTGGATTGTGTAAACTGTCAATAATACGTTATTTGACGTATAACCCTTTATCTCAAAACCTTTGACCTGAAACAGGTGGAACAGGTGGAACTTTCTTTTCTGGAAGACTGTCTCCCCAGTTACAATCCTAAGGTCAGTTCGAACACAATTTTCCATTTCTTTCTTAGGTTGACTATTGATTAATTTTTTTCGTCAACAGTATGAAGATGTTCTTATTCATTGTATTTTCTAGTTGCTATACAGTTTTCCCTCAACATACGCCTATTGGGTTGAGAACTGTGTCCATGATCCTGTTTGCAGGAGAAGAATTTGATATGATGTTGAGATGTTGTGATTTATAATTAGAAATATATATTTGGTCTTTGCCCCCATTTCTTAAACAAAGCTTCTAAAACCCTTGGAATTTCCTAAGTGATGAGAGTAATAAAGGTGACTTTTTTTTCTGTGAATGAGGTGACTTTCGGAAAGCACCTAAGGATGGAAGCCGGTTGCAGGAGACAACCACGTGACTAGAGAGTTAGACCTTTCAGTCTCAGCCCCTAATCTCTGGGGACGGGAGGGGAAAGGAGGTGTAGGAAAAGGAGAGGAAAGGGGCAGGGGGTTGACTCGATCTCCAACGGCCGATGGCTGGCTCAGTCATGCCTGTGTAATGATGCCTCCTCATTACACAAAAACTCAAAAGGATGGCACTCGGAGACCTTCCAGGTTGATGATCTGCTGATTTGGGGAAAGTGGACGCGGACGCTCTGTGCCCTGCTCCCACACCGAGGCCCATGCATCTCCCCAGCCTGGCTGGTTCTGAGTCATATCCTTTTACAATAAACTGGTAATCTAGTGAGTAAACAGGTTTCTTGAGTTTTAGCAAATTATCAAACCCACCGAGGGGGTTACTGGGAACCTTTGCATAGCCTGTCAGCCAGAAGCACAGGTGACAACCTGGACTTGCGATTGGCATGTAACCTGGAGGTATAAGAGTACTAGTCTCTGGATAGGGTTTCAGAACAACTCCAGATAATAGCTTACTATAGAAAAAGCAAGAAATCCCTTGGTCAGGCTAAAAGCAGTAAGGGAAACAAAGAAAGCACTCTGAAAACACGGGCAAGATGCTGACAGGGAGCTCTAAAATGGGGGATCAGAGAAACCAAAAACAGTGATGGAAATGAAACTGTGGTTCCAGGCACAGGCCTTTGACGGAAACTCAGCAATAACTGGGCAAAACAGCAGACAACCAAACTTACCACAGCCACCCGGGCAAGAATAACAGGAAATCCGAAGGCAGAAACAACAATTCCAGTAGTGAAAAAATAGGCCAGTTCCCGACAGGCACTGCTTGTTGCATCGGAGTCATACGTTGCTCTCTTGGCGATGAAATAGGGAATGGGAGAGATGGCGTGGAAGATCAGGACGAACAAGGGCCAGTAAACGCTGTTTAAAAGAAAGAAAGAAAACCAAAAAGAAAAGATGCAGTTATATGATATTTAAAGATACATTACTGTTTCAAAATTAATATTACCTTAAAGGTCCAGGTCAGAAATTATTTATTCAGTTGTCAATATGAGTACATAAAATGATTTCTACCAGAAATAGATAAGGAGTGATCATTAAAAATTACTAATCCATTAATGTGTAGATAGCTTACATTGTGTGAAGGAACAACCACACAGTGTAAAATCTAGACTCTATGGGTTTCTGTATTACTGAGCTGTAATTTCTTTAAGGACAGAAGCTTCTCTTAGTTATCTTTGCCGTCTCTATAGAACACAGTACAGTGCTTTGCACACGCTGGTTCAGTAGTGATCTTTGGAGTGTGCACACATTGGAAAGCTTTCAGATGTTTGGAATAAAACCCAGATGCCTTACCCTGGCATACAAAGCCTCACACTTGATCTATCAGGCCAATTTCTTCCATTCATGCTGTGCTGTCTTCCTCCATTCGCTTAAACTGTAGCCACAGCAGCCCTTCTGTTCTGCCAACGCTCGGAGCCCATTCCTTTGCCTGGAATGCCCTCCCCCTAACTCATCAGCCTGATAAATTTATTCATCCACCAGGTCTCAGCTTAAAGACAACCTCTTCCCCGCAGCCCTCCCTGACGCTCCCTGGGGAACTCGCTGGCTTGAAGCTCTCACTGCACTTGGTACACACCCTCCACCAGAGCTGGCTTACTAGCTGGACTGTTTGCCTGTCTCTCACTCCCAACTAGAACTGTAAGCTCCCTGAGGACACGACTGTGTCTCCTCATTCTTGAATTCCTACTGGTCCAGAGGAGGTTTTCAATAAATGCTCATTAAGTGTTTACATCAGTTTTAAAAAGAGCTTTTCTATGAACAAATACAACTCACCCAGGATGGGACTTGATTCAAAATTTGGGCTTCATTAACTCATTGGTTAGAGCTCAGCGCTACACTGACCAAACACTCTAATACCCACAGTATTAGTAATAGTGACAAAGACACAAAAAGAATAGTTCTTTTTGAAATGATAACTTACCCATAATCCTCTAAGGCACATCCCAGCATAAGAAAAGTCAGCCCAATAGCCCCACTGAAGGACAAAGCCACAAGAGCTGTGAAAAATAAAACCAAGAGTTGTTAAGCCCCAGTGGTTGCCAGGGGCTGAGGAAGGAGGGGAGGAATGGGGCGGGACTACTACTTGGTATAGAGTTTCTTTTGCGGATGATGAAATGTTCTGCAATTAGAAAGTAGTAATGGTTGCACAACCTTGAAATCTACTAAAAATCATGGAATTTTTCACGTTTTAAAAAGGTTAATTTTATGGTATGTGAATTCTATCTCAATTTTAAAAATGAATTAAGAAAAGAATAAAAGGTCCTAAATTGAAGTAAGAGAAGTGATTTCCTTATTTCATTAGTTGATGTTACATCTGACTAGCAAATGACCACCTACGTCCGTCACTTCTGACTCATCAGGTGGAGAAAGAGCTCAAGCACGCCTAGTACTCAACCCCTAGCTAATGGATGGATTCCCCCCACATTTATGACAAGAGCCAGCCAGCCAGTCGATGTGACTCCAGTGAAGGGAAACTCACTACCACCTGAAGTAGGCCATTTCATTCTGACGGTTTTTAAAAGCTGAAAACCCTCTTTCCTTAAATTGCAGCCCAAAATATACACCCTTTGATCATTTTGCCTCCCCAAACCACAGTGCTTCAGGTGTCTGAAGACTGCTTTCATGGCTTCATTGAAAATGCTTCCCAACTAGTAGCCACTGAATATTCATGTCCCTGCCTCCGTTGGACATTAATCTTTGATGGGGTAGGAACATGTCTGTTTTGTGCTGCTGAGTGGGAGACAATATGAGAGTTGTTAAAAAATCTTGAGCTCCAAGTCACCAACATGGGTCCAACATGGGTTCAAATCTTAACTCTCACTGACTGGTTGTATGACCTTGGGTTTAGAAGCTTTAAAGCTGCTTTTTTTCACCTGTAAAATGGGAATAATGGTGCCACCTTATTAGGGAGTGTGTGGGAGTTAAATGAGACAATCTATGCAAGGTGCTCAGTAAGCAATTGTTGACTGTGGCAGGAATCTGCTCACTTTAGCAATGTTCTTTGATAAAGGGAGAAATCAAAAGCACAGGACACTGAATTACCCAAAGATTCTTCTGAAAAAACTCCTTAATACTCAAAATTAGTTACTGATTAAACTAATTAACGCTTTGAGTGCTTCCTTTCACTGTAAGAAGCAATTTGTGGAGACTATTATAGGAAGATACCAAGGTTCTTTTTACAAATATCTGGGAGTGTACAGACATTAGGAGGCAAGGAAGGACTATCAGTTTCATATATTATTTTCATTTCATGTCACTTTTGAAAAAAAATGTACAAAAGTAACTTTCCCCATATTGCTTCCTTGTAGACGATCTTTCCCTCGGTGGCTTTGTGCCCAACCATCTGCACGACTCCCTCCTCCAGGCCATTCAAAGCTAGGAACCCTACACCTCTTCTGTGACACCAGTCTCTCAAAGTTCACAACTCTATCCCTGGTTGATGCTCTTTACCCCCTTGCTTTTTCAGGAATTGCATCTTCCACCACCTCTTAAACTTGGAGCCAAGCAGGAATCCAACTTCATCTCTCCTGTCACTCCACACTCTTGCTGGGACATTGCATTCAACCCACAGCTCCCCAGTACCACGAGGGCTCGGCCACACCTGATGTTGCAGCCCAGAGGAGGTCCTAAGAATTAGGCCTGTGCCTCCAACTCCAATCTGGACTTCTCTGCCTGGGGAGCCAACAAGGACCTCAAATCCAACCTGTGTAAAAATGAAACATCCCCACCTTCTCCTCCAAAACATACACTTCATCCCTTCGAAGGTTCTACCTTGAAAGATCAACACCAACTCTATACTCTGTTTCCTAGAAAATCAGTAAGTCAAGGTGACTCAATCTCCCAGATCTCATTCAAAATCACTGCTAAAGATGAAGTGACTTTGTCCCACCCCCCTCAAATTCATATATTAAATCTTAGCGCCCAGTGAGATGGTATTAGGAGGAGATTAGTTCATGAAGGTGGAGCCCTCGTCCCTTCCACCATGTGAGGACCTGGAGAAAAGACAGCTGCCTAGGAAACAGGAAGCAGGCCCTCCACCAGACAACAAATCTGCTGGCATCTTCATCTTTGAGATCCCAGCCTCTAGACCTAAGAAATAAATGTCTGCTGTTTAAGCCACCCAGCTGACAGCAACCCTAAGGGACCAAGAACCACCTCTTCTCTCGCCTGCAAACTCAGCCCAAATTTCCCTTTTCTTATAAGGACACTAGTTACTGGATGAGAGCCCATCTAATCCGGTATCATCCTAGCTTGATTACAACTGCAAGGCCCTATTTCCAAATACCATCAAATTCACATATACTGGGGAGTTAGAACTTGAACATATTTATTTGGGGGATACATTCAACCTATACCACCACCTAGTGCTCCCACTGTATCTGAGCACACTTCCTTTAAACAGTAACAATTACTGTTTAATCTAGCTCTGTTACCCAACAATAACCTCCCATTTGTCCTTTTATTCCAGGCCTCAGGCATACAGTAGTCCTTTAAAAGTTGCATCGAATTGTCTGTAAAAAGCTTCCATTCCTTAGCCCTTTTCCATTTCACAGCCTATATTTCTTTCTACTACATCACAATTTCTAACACATTCTCACATAAACATCATTGTTTGATAGTTTCTGAGTATGACTAAACACTGTGTAGTGCTCTCACTTGTCATCTTTTTCTGCATTGGCTTCAAATGGATATATTACGCAAGGGACACTGTCCAAGTAAATCATGTTTTCTAAATTAATGCCGAATATAAAAGTCAGCCAGAAATAATTTTAAAATGTGTCTGCTACTAACAGCTTACACAGTCAGATAAATTTCATAGTGAACACACGCATGCGGAGAAATATATCCACACGCATGTTTATCGTTCCACCTAATCTACTCTCCCCAATTACGAGAAAAACAGCATTTCAGGGGGCTTCCCGTTGACACCGCCTGCAAACTCTGCCCAACTGGAAAAGCCATCAGGAACAACAGATGCCGAGAAGACTGGAGACAATGGCTCCTTTGCAAGAAATGGGAAACTCAGCAAAGTGGCAGAAAAAGGAAGGAGAGGCGTTAGAGTGGACATGTCAGGAAGTGGAAATCCAGTTTGAAACTCGACAGAGGAGGGGGTGAGGGGACGATCCAAGGAACTGAGAAGGAGCCGGGGAGGTGATGCCCTCCGGGGCTAGCCCGAGTCTCCCAGGGAGGGACCGCTCCCGGCGCGGGCTCCGCCTGGAGCGTCCGGGAGACGCCGGGAGAAGGCGTGAAGGCCAGCAGCCTCGCAGAAAAAGGAGTGAGGTTCCCCGAAACACGCCTCCACCCGCACCCCAAGGGGCAATGGGAGCAAGAGAGCTCCTTCCCACCCGGAGAGGCGGGGAGGGCGGCGGGTCTCAGGGAGGCCGGTCCCCGCCCACGCGCTGAAGGCGCAGCTCCAGGATTAGCCCCGAGCCGAGGCGGCGACCTCACCGCAGGACCAGCGAGCCGGGGACCTCGGAGGTACCTTTAACGCCCGCCATGTCTCCCAAGCTGGAGCCGC